CCTGCCTGCTGGTCTGCTTGCAAGCTGCTTTGGACTTGCAACTTCCTGGTGGCTTCCTCGTCGACTAGGTTGTGGGAAGCTGGCAGGAAGTTGTCTCGCCTAATGACTGTGGGATTTGTTAATGATGGCAACTGGGACTGCAGGGATTGCTGTTGCTAAGTGATGCAATTATATGACATTGCGCTTTATGATCACATCGCTTAGCAATGGAAACTCTGGTCCCAATTGCCGTCGTAAGTTGAGGACTACCTGTATATTGCTGTTTTAATTTTCATGCTTTTAAATTGCTTTCGTGAGAGGGGTGGTCATATCAGTAGAAAGAAACAAATAAATGTATCTTCAGAAAATAGCTTTCCCCAGTGTTGGATCCAGCTGCTAAATCCTAAAGCTCACAGAACACATTTAATATGATGAGAATGGTGGAAGAGTTTATTACTGGATCTCTTGTTGCTTTTAAAGCCTCAGTCATATTAAGGCTCTAACATAATAGGTGGTCCTCATTTAGTGACCACAGTTGGGACCCACAACTCAGTCATTAAGCAAAGCAGTTGCTAAATGAAATATCACAATTTTACGATTTTACTTCAGCTTTTCTTTGCTTCACAGACCTGCGAAGGTTGTAAATGCAAGGACTGGTCAGAAAGTTACTTTTTCATCACTGTCATAATTGCGAATGGTTTCTAAATGAGTCAGTCGCTAAATGAGGACTACCTATAGCTGTACTCACCCAATACCCTTAACCTGGCTATTGAATTCATTTTTGGGGATTTACATAATACACTGGATAATAACCTAACCCAAAAGGGTGGGCTTGCATAACACCCCAAGCTACCAAAAAAACCCATTTTAACTAAAGTTAACACCAGCCAAGTGTAGCACGTTATGCAAATATATCCACTCCATCTTTTTATTGGAATGTTGTGCTAAAGGAGAAGAGGAGAAGGACCAAGATAACAGACGTCCTGATGCCAACTCACCATTCTGGCTAGGATTGGGTCTCACTGCCTCTGACTCCTTCATGCTTCAGCTTGGTCCTCCTCCTCTTCACCATCTGAGAATTGCAATGACCTGGTTAATGATGGGACTGGAAATGTTCTGTTTGTGCACGTGAGGGTTCCTGAGCAATAATCAGTGAAGCAGAAAATGCAGTACAGGGAGAGGCAAAGCTTAGCACCTCACTAACTACATCCTGCCTGGAGCAGGGTGAAAGAACAGGTGCTCTGTGGGTGGATTCCAGGGAAGAAAGGCAGAAGATTAGCTTTGTCTCTCTCTCTCTCTGCCCACTCTTTGCCTAAGAAAGAACACAAAATAAATCCTTAATGCTATCAAAGCTCTATTGCCCCCTTGTGGTCAATAGGTCATGAGGTGCTGAAGAATCCGTGGGTTTGGATTTGCACCCCTGTTAGTGAAATGCACAGTAGGAGCACAACTATTATGAAAGGGAAGATTAATCACGTGCAATCTTGAAATTGCCTTCAAGAACCTGCCACAATAATTAAAATATTTGGTACCCATACAATATTTATAAAAATTAGGGTGGAAAAGCATCAACCAAGTAAATTAACGTGCAGCTGAATTTGCTGTTTGGAATTAACATGGCAAATCCTTTCTTGCATTTCCTGCAATCTTGTTTACTTCGTTTGCTAAAAATAAAACTAGGAAAGAATATTCTCATTACTTTAAAACTCTTTTTTTTATTTGCCGTAGACAGAGAGGAGGGGTGAGTAGACTGGAAGTTCCCAGCAGGAGAAGCTGAAAATTCCATTTTCCCCTGAAAGAACCACATCCAAAAATAACATTTCTTATTTTTTATCTCAATCCAAACAGCAGTTGAAAGAACAGCATGGAATCTCTAAGACATCTATGACGCCTTACGGTAGCATACTCAATGAAAATGGTAGGTTTTTATAAAAAATGAAAGTATTTGTACTGGTCTTCTCGTTGGAAACATTGGATGCTTCAACACAAGCATCCTTCTGGTGTTCTGACTTGAACTTGAGATTTTATTGGGGATCCAGATGTTGTGAGAAAATGCTCACTTTAAATTAGAAACCAAAATGATTGGACATAGATGCAACAAATATAATTTTATTGGAACGCATTATGGTGATCATGAGTCTCCGCCCCAACAGAATGCAAATAAAAGAGATATGAGTGAAGCATCTCTACAGATTATATATGTTTGGTTGGTTACATTACAAAAAGGAAGATAAAATAAGCAATACCATTGCAATATGACCTTTACACCAGAATACTTTGATAAACCCTTTGAATGACCTCTCTGTTACGCTTCACACTAGTAGAATCCTTTCAAATTATATCAGCATGTACAATAAACAACATTGTGTGTGTTATCCTTTTACACCATTCCATTCACACTCTCAAGAAAGGACAGCTGTCTGGTTCCTGTTTTCTATCTCCATTCCAGGGTCACAGCACTGAGCGCTGAGCTACATACAGTACACTTTGATACTTAACCTAACAGAATATACGATCCATTTCTAGGGGATGCAAATAAACATATGAATTAGACCTCCCCATGGACATCAATTATTTCTACTTGTAGCTTTCAGGTGCTTCAAACTGATAAGCACTTCCCTATTGGTCAGGAAGGCCACAGTGGATTTAATTTGCGTGTTGGCAGCCGGTCTGTGTTAGGGACTTTACCACTGAGTTCTGTAATGAAGACACTCTATACTGTATTTCCAACTCTTTTCCTTGGAGTACTTACTAGGCAGTTCAGCTCTGCTGAATACTGGAGATGTGGCTCACGCAGCACATTAACCCAGCCTTCACTCAGAAAGGCAAAAAGTTGCTTTAGAGTGCACAGGTATCCCAAAATAGACGAAATATGTCTTTTCTTGGAATTGTGCTGCAGCTGTGGAGGATAGTGGAAAAGTCACAGCCGCTTAAAGGAGTTGTGGGCTGGTGTTTTGTGAGCCCCCATACATTCTCTGACAGGTGTTTTTTCCCCCCCACTTTGAATGTAAAGTGCTACTGAGTAGGCAATGTGGAAGACATGAAAGCTTCACCAAGAAAGACACAGGGAAGCAGTGAGCTATATTTGTTGAGAGAAATTGATAGAGCAGATTTAAAAAGAAAAGCTATACACTTCTAGTTTATGGTTGTGGATCTTCTACCTTAACAATATAAAAACTGAAATACATAACAATGGAAATATTTATAATTTCCAGATCACCTCCACTTCCAGATTTAGAATCCTACAAGGAATGGACTAAGTGGTTGAGCACATGATTTGCATGCAGAAGATACATGGTTCAAATCTCAGAATCTCCTGGTAGGGCTGGAAAAAATTCCTCTTGGTGTATTGCTTCCCTCAGTGCTACCTTCATTGATCTGTGGAAAAACTAGCATTTTGATTCAATAGAAGGTCTTTCCTATGTTCTTATCCTGGGCCAAATCCATGTTTTGTAAACATTCGGTTGCAAACATTTTTCTAATCAACTATTCCACATGACTCATCAGCACTAAAACCGGGGTGGTCAAGTCTAGTTAAGGGATAAAATGTCTTATATGAATGTCTGGATAATCAAAGATGGGAGACAGTAAATTATCTCAAACATCCTGTATTGGCCAATAGCAGAGGCACAACATTACATTATAGAGACTCACTTTGCATCAGCATTGAAATGTGTAGATTTTATGGGTGAGGTAAGTCTTATATGCACTCAGTTGAAAAGGAAAGAAGGAAAAAAAA